TAAAATATGGAAGACCGTGAATTAAGTTTTCCTCAGTTTTCGCTTTATAATGCACTTTGCGCGATTTGGTTGATTTGAAACTCTCGTTTTCTCATGGTAACAGACGTCAGAACTGACAGAGCCAAAATCTTTGCTATGTAACAGCAAACGATGGAGCTTGTAATTAATCATCACTTTGTGATTTTACGAATGCCCTGGCTATCAGAATCCAGCTATATATTATTCTAACTGATCGTTAGAAGCCAGAGGATGCAAAGTTAATTAGAGTTGTACTTAACACGGCCGGCAGAACTTGCTTTGAAAGTGAAACTGCGAAAACCCGATTGAGGGGTTCTAAATATTTCGAGAAAACACTGATTATCATACTACGTCAGGCATGGAAGCTTTATTCGAAGTTTTTGGAGTATCATAACATAAGCTTGGTGGGAAGCGAGATAAAGTGAAAATCAAGGCGGGATGTGCAATGCGGAATGGGGGGTGCGACATTCAGGATAACATATCTTGGCTTGAGCAGCATGTGTTCATTTTAACCAGGGAATGCGGGATAAATTTGATATTAGGGGACGGGATGTGAGATGAAAAACAGAAATTCACGTTANATGAAAGCTACTTTTGCCATCGTTATGTTGTAAAATATGGAAGACCGTGAATTAAGTTTTCCTCAGTTTTCGCTTTATAATGCACTTTGCGCGATTTGGTCGATTTGAAACTCTCGTTTTCTCACGGTAACAGACATCAGAACTGACATAGCCAAAAACTTTGCTATGTAATAGCAAACGATGGAGTTTGTAATTAATCATCACTTTGTGAATTTACGAATGCCCTGGCTATCAGAATCCAGCTATATATTATTCTAACTGATAGAAGCCAGAGGATGCAAAGTTAATTAGAGTTGTACTTAACACGGCCGTCAGAACTTGCTTTGAAAGTGAAACTGCGAAAAACCAATCGAGGGGTTCTAAATATTTCGAGAAAACACTGATTATCATACTACGTCATGCATGGAAGCTTTATTTCGAAGTTTTTGAAGTGTCATAACATAAGCTTGGTGGGAAGCGAGATAAACTGAAAATCAAGGCGGGATGTGCAATGCAGAATGTGGGGTGCGACATTCGGGATAAAATATCTTGGCTTGAGCAGCATGTGTTCATTTCAACCAGGGGATGCGGGATAAATTTGATATCAGGGGACGGGATGTGAGATGAAAAACAGAAATTCACTGTTACACAGTGACTAAGGAAATTAATTTATCTTTCGGGAATGTTTGGAAACACTAATGAGTTAAAGAGTAGGGGTTTATAAAACATGCCAATCGCATCATATATTAACACCGATTCAAATCAGTCCTTAACTACATGACGTCAGAGTTGAAAGTAGTTGGTGATTACAGTCGACGTCACGGCTACAAAATCTGCCAGTTTTTTCTTTTTGTTCAAAAAGTAGATCAACTGTGAACAGTTTACTTA